ATAAAATCAGTCATGAATTAAGTTTATACATTAGGGGTGAAGGACTTTTTGGTATTCCTCAAGCTGTAAGACAAAGAACTACCCGATCTCCAGGTATCATTATTTACAAAAAAATTAAGACTGATTTGTTATATAATATTGAAAAAAAAAATTCATTTCTTCTAGCTGATTGGTGGTTGGCATATGAACAAAGAGCTCCCAATTTACAAAGCTTTGCTATCAAAGTCCTAAGTTTAACATGTAGTTCATCTGAATGCGAACGCAATTAGAGTATTTTTGAACATGTAAGTATTTTACAATGTATGTGTTGATTTTTTATATATATTCATAATATAGTATTGTGATAATATTTTAATTGCAGCTTCATAGCAAACGAAGAAGCAAATTGGATTATGGTTGCTTAAATGATTTAGTTTATGTGAAATATAATAGAGCACTGATTCGGAGATTCAATCATCGTGATGTCATTGATCATATTTCTTTGACTGAGATAGATGATGCAAATGAATGGCTAACAGGAAAATTAGATGATGAGTCTGATGAAGAAAATGACTTTATTGCTGGAGAGGAAGATTTAACTTGGACAAGTGTTGCTAAAGCTACTGGTGTTTATGATAAAAGCTATAATATTCGGGAAAGATCGAAAGGGAAAAAGAAAGAATCTTCAATTAGGCATGATGTTGCTATTGAGAATGATGATGAGGAGGGTGATGAAGAGGATTATGAAGTAGGAGACAATGTTGAAGAAGATAATGAAGCTTTTTTAACATTTGCTGATGATGATGATTCCCAAGAAGAGTAAATTAAATTCATATTTGATCTTTTAAAAAAAAGATTGTAATATTTGAATTATGAGATATTTGGATGTTACTTAGTCGAACTTATATATGTTATGGTTGTCTTTTATTATTATGATAGCTTGTCTTTCATTTTTAATAATATTTCATATTCATACTTATTATTTTATATTTTTTATATAACTTGCGCCATGTTCAAAATAGCGCGCGCCGCGCCGTGCACTATGCGCCATGGCTCCAAATGGACCTTTACGCCATGGTGCGCCATTCGCCGTTAACAGGTAAGTTATAGCCACTATTAATGCTTTTAAAATATTTACCACACTACCAACACATTCATTTAAATCTTATCTAATACTTTTTTTTCAAGATGCATCATTTATATTAGTTCTTCAAAGTCATTTTAAAATTTTAATTTTGAACATATTTCAAAATTCACTTAACAAGCATAAGCACTTATTATATTAATAATCTTAGCATCAATAATAATCTTAAAAGCTATAATTCTATTCAACATTATCTTTCAAATTCTTTCTATATTTACAAGTACACCATTTCTAGTACGACTCATACCAGAAAATCATAGTTTAAATCCAAGACTATCAATCTCTTTAGTCTTCGATCTAACTCATTTAGTTTTTTAAGTACATTGAATATTTATTTTCATATGAATCATAATATCTATTAATTTTATTAATTTGCATGCAAGAGAATCTATTTTCTATGTTTCTATCTTAATTTTATTTTTATGGACTAGCTTCTTTATCCATATCCATCTATAAAGTGGGAACCTTTTTTCATTTAACACTGCACCTAGACATTGTTAAAGCGGCCCTTGCACACTTATTGCTGTATTCAGATCATATAATGTCACTTCCAGTGAATATTTTAACATTAACATAATGTATTAAATAATTCATGTTATGATTATTTGATAAGTTTTATGTTAGATATCGACTATCCAATGCAATCCTCTACTTTTGTCATCCAAAGGCTTGGAACCTAGCAATTTTAATGTTATTGCTAATTTAATATAAATTATTTTTAATTTATACTTTATATTTAAATAACATTTACAATTATAAATTATATATTAAATTTACATTATAAGCTTGAATATATAAATCATTCATGGTAGATTATTTATAATTAACAAATAGATAAAAATTAATTTTTAAAAGTGCATGAAAAAATTAAACAGATAAACAATTAAATATGATTAATCAAAAAATAAATATTATTTATATTGTTAAAAGTTAATTACAAAATCTTTTTAAAAATATATAATGTATGTATTTAAATTTAAAAACTTAAATTATGTTATTTATTCTCACATCACTTGTGAGCTTTGCATTTATCTTATTTATATTACTCTTTTTGTGTGCATGTGATAAGAGCTCACATGGGGTGGCGGATTATGCCAGTAAGTTTTATTGGTGGTTGGTTGAAAATGATTATTATGAAAATTAAATGTTCATTATAAAATCAAAATGTTTTAAATTAAAATTAGTTTATTAAATTTAATAATATTTTATACTAAGTTATTAAATTAATTTTTTAAATTATTTAAATCGATTAGCATTAGACCGGCCATTTCTATGGAATTGGGATTTATTCAATAGTTTGTCTGCCAAATTGGCTGCTCTGACCTGTTCGTGTTGTTTCGATGCTATGCCATTTTTTAATACAAACTAAATCGACCGTACTATTGATCACAGTTGAATCGGTCGAACCGACAAGTCCTGTCTGGTTTTCAAAGCCATAGTTGTGAGGGATATTGCAATCATTAGTTGTCAAATATTTTCGATGTAATTTTCAAGACTAAGAGGATGCCAATAGATTAATAAAGGGGCATTTTTATAATAATATTTATGATAGTGGTAATTATTGAGAAATCAAATTTAGGGGATTTATGTGAGAGTAATAGGGTAGACTTCAAAAAATTACGTTTGTTTTATGTCTGAGCAGGATTATGCTAGGAAGATCTAGCGTTGGCCCAATTACTTCTAAGAAGTTACTAGGAAATTATAAAGAGTAGAGAAATAATCTTTACTGGTTTTATTGATCTGGAAAAGTCAATAGTCATACTTCATTAGAGTTGCTTTGGTGTGCATTAAGAAATGATTATGTATGACAAAAATGTATTGAAGTTATTAAAGATACCTATGATTGCGCGTTCACTAATATTAGAAATGGTTGTGGACTGATAAAAATTTGTAGTTATAATAGAATTAAATTAGGGGTTATCAACTAGTCTATATCTTTTTGTTTTTGTTACAGGTTCGTGCTATTGAAATTCATATTGAAGATCGTTAGTATATTCTTTTCAGAATGAGAGATATACTGAAATAAGTGTAAAATTATAGTAATCCATAAATTTTTTGAAGGTGAACAAAGATTGAATATGTAATATGCAATTTTAATTAGTGTGATATTATCAAATATTACCCGATTTTATTAAATGATAATGCAATTCCTATATGTGATAAGCTTATGCATCTTGGATCTATTTTATAAGAATAAATAATGGTTAGGTTGTGGTGGTTAAAGAACAATTAACTCAACAATGTTATGTGATAGGAAGATATCATATAGACTTTTAAGTAAATTTTATGAAATTATAGTTAGGCTCGTTATATTATATGAACAAAGTATTGGCAGCAAAAAAAAGCCCCTAATATTTGAATTTAGTGTAGCAAAAATAAGAATGTTAATATGAATGGCCAAAAATAATATATATATATATATATATATAATCAAGAAATGAATATGATTAGCATCTATTGAAACTAAGTTGAATAGTCATGTTGTTTGGACATGTATAAAAAATGCTAAAAGATGTATCCAAGTTAGGTGTTAGATAAAATTAGTATTGATGGATTAGTAAGAAAAATATAAAATTATGGTAACATTGACAGAAATTGTTGAGACGGATTTTTAAAAGAGTAAGTTTAAAACGTTATGCAAAACCTAGTACAAATGAATGAAAAATGAGGATTCGGAAATGCAACTCCAAATAGATGATGTTGAATTTAAGATGTGACCTTAGTTAAGCCTAAAACCACCATCTTGAGGACAGTTTGGGATTCCTAGTCTAGTCATACCCATGACTTCGAGAATTCCTACTAGAATGTTACAAGTCAATAGATTAGGTTGGTAAGGTTCTGCTTTAGCTATATCACGGTTTGCACAGCTCTATTGTGTGTATATGCATTTTAATAAAAATCTGGAGTTGGTAACTAAACTATTCAGCTAATGGTGCAAGCAATTTATTATTCATTGTGATCTATCTGCAGGGATGTTGTATGATATACGAAGAGTGAGTGACTTTCTTTTCATTTCTAAGCAGAATAATTCATGACCTACTTGAAGCACCGGAAAGATTTTTTAAACGATATATGTTAAGTTTGAAATAATGAAATTTTAATTAATAATTTAATCAGTAGAAAGTCATTTTTTGTTAAATTGTTTCTTCTGCGAGAACAGCTTAAAAGGAGTATGAATTTCTGTCCGAGGCCGGCATTTTAGGTAGGAAATTTAGGAGGCAAAATAGCATTCATGAACTCTTTCAGTTGGTCATTAGGCTTCATATCAATCAGCATACGTTGCCAGATTTGAAATTGAAAGAGTTCTTGTAACTTCGAACTCTTTTGTTTAGTGGAACATAGAAATAACTTGATTTCAAATTGATTGTTGGAATTCCAGATATGGTTCACGTTCTTAGGTAACATTGGACGTATCCTTCTCTATTTTCAATAGAGCTAAAACTTGGTATCTATAAATGGTAACATCAGAATGTCACATATCCTTGGTGAATTGAGGGGTGTCAACAAGGAGTGAAAGTTGCAACTATTACAAATGCCAACTAGGTAGAAAAAATTATTGGAAGTTTAAGTCCATTAATAGTATACTTTATATCAATTGATCATCTTCAAAAAGTTTCTATTGTTAAAACTTGACATTAGGCTATTGAGATGAAAATAGATGGAAGATAATTCATCCATTGGCAGCAGCGCAGGGTAGAGAAGAATTAGGTGAGATAACATATTGAAACCCATAATATATACAAGGAATAATAAAAAAAAAAGTGAAAGTGGTAGCACTGACTGCATTTGGAATAAATTTGGTGAGATAATAACGTTTCATCTCAATTGGTGTGGATGATTTTATCTGCTTACATACATGTTTTCTACCTTGAAACAGAGATCGGCATAGGACTGACTGGGTTTGGAATCTTTTTCTCATTTCTTGGAATCATTTTCTTCTTTGATAAGGGGCTCTTAGCCATGGGGAATGTGAGTGGTCTGCTTGACTTTCATGCCTTTCATTTTCCTCGATTATTTATCAAAATAAATTAGGTGTTCTCAACCATTTTGTCTACCTTTTCACTGGCAGATCTTGTTCTTATCAGGAGTGATGCTAACAATTGGATTGAAATCAACCATGCAATTCTTCACTAAACGAAAGAACTACAAGGTTCAAGCATCATGAAGATTTTTCATATTCTCTCGTGTATTCTCTTTTTTGTTTCCACAAAATTGACTTTCTTTTTGCAGGGTACGGCTTCTTTTGGTGCTGGATTTTTCCTTGTCCTAATAGGATGGCCTATCTTTGGCATGATTTTCGAGACATATGGCTTTATGGTTCTCTTTAGGTTGGTAAAGTTGCATTACCCAGATGCCTTAATTTAATTTAGTTACAAAAGTGTCTTACTGCTGTATCAACTCATTAAAATATTTGAGGATGACGTGAGCTATGCTTTGTATATTATAGTTTACTATTTTGGGTGGCTAAATACTTGGGAGGCTAAATACATGAACTATGTTTATCTCTCTCACATATTTAATTTGCTTTCTCTTCTTCCCTTCTCTCTTTAAAGCCTTTTGCACTATTATTGTTTATTTTTTGCAGTGGATTTTGGCCAACCATAGCCGTTTTCTTGCAGAGGCTTCCAATTATTGGCTGGATATTCCAGCAGCCGTTTATAACATCGGTAAGAAATTTAGGCTTCGTTTGGGACGGCTGTCTTTCTGCTTCTTGAAGTAGCTTTTAAAAAGCTGCTTCAAAAAACAGAAAGAAAGCCGTCCCAAACAAAGCCTTTGTTTGCATCCCGCTTCGATGACCACCATTACCATCACTCTTGTTAAAAACCGGACATTCATGCTAGCGCACACACTGGAAACAATATTTCTCACATTATAACCATAAGCCATACTGGTTTTTTTTTTTTTTTTTAAACATATTTTCCGCTTTCTGCAGCTCTTTGACCGTTACAGAGGTAAGCGAGTACCTGTTTGAGTAGTAGGAGCTGATACAAGTTTGATGTGGAACCTCGTGTTAGAAATTCTGTAAGAAAGCAACAAAAATTTCGCTGAATTGATGATTTCATAAGAATTCATGTCTTTTGTTCATCTATTGTGTAGCTTCTGGATGCATTCTGTTGCTTTTTTTTTCTTTTTTTTGACACCCAAAACAGAGGAATTCTTTGTAATATATCTCTTGTCGATATTCAAATGAATGTTGATTCCTCGCTATATCAGAGGAATCTACATTGTCTTTGCGTGTGATGTCACTATGGGGTGCTGCCATGAAGCTATTTAGGCTTCGTTTGGGACGGTTTTTTTTAGTGTTTCTTAAAGTAGCTTTATAGTACAAAAATTCTAATTTTTGTATTAAAAAACTGCTTTAAGAAGCAGTAAAAAAGCCATCCCAAATGAAACCTTAGAGAAATACTTTTGGAATAATTCGTTTTTATTTGAAGGTTATAAATATAGATTTATAGATAGTTCTTCCTTACTATGATTTAACATGGAGCATTCTGATTTTATTTGAGAAGGATATTGAATTTGTTGAAACATGGCCGTACAAAGGAGGAATTATTACATGTAGTCGATGAACGACATCGAGAGGCCAATCAGAATGAGTCACATCATTAATAATGAGTTGTGTATTGGTACGTCATCAATACAGAGTAGTGTACTAGACCAATACATATCTGTTTATTGAGTGATATGATGTATTTTGTTTGGCCTATGTAAGTTTGGCATCCACACATAATAATTTCTCGCTGCAAAGACTGTGTTGCTAATAGTTGAAAGCCAAGGAGCAGCTATTCTGAAGTTTTTGCAACAGGAATTTTGTGTCTCAATCATTTGTAGGGAATTCTGAGAAATAACACGAGTACCTGCGTCACAAAATTATATTAAATAATATATGAAATGAAAAATAAGAGGCTTAATTAGGCTATATGACCTACTTCCGCGTCTCCGTCAAGCTTTGCGTATTCCTAGGAGTACATGAACATTTTTTTTCACTTATTTTGTGATGGCGTCGTTTTAGTTCAACAACTATATGACCGAAACTGCAACAACTGGTAGTGCATGATTTATTGTTATAGTAACTACTCTTCGTCCAATACGTAATAAATGGGGCTTTAAAATATTAGTTGAATTCATTTACTTGATGTTGATGCCATTGTGTTGATCAGTTCGTAGAATCAGAAGTGGTTGGGGTGACCTTTTTTAGGCTTCATTGGGGATAGTTTTTTCATTGTTTCTTAAAATAGTATTTTTAGAATATATATATATTTTAAATTAATTTTTTTTACTATAAATTGTTTTAGAAATTGATAAGAAAATTGTTCCAAATTAAGTCTTAGTAAGTTATAGATGAATTTTTTTTTCTTATAATTGGGGGTGATCTTTTTAGCATGTTTTAGATGAATTTTTTCTCATAATTATATATAGTATAGAAGTTTTATTTTTCTTCCATGATTGTTTATGTTATTATGTAAGATGATGTTGAACTTAATTTTTGGTATTACCTATTCATGCTGGAGTATTAAATTTGGATGATTACTAGACTTAGAATTAGAGAACCTGCCTCAATTAAAATTCAAATGATTTTCAGTGGAGCCGAAATTGTGTTAGGCAGCCAGCCTTGTTTTGAGCAGAGCTGAGTTTACACATTATTTTCTATAATTATTTTTACATATAATATGTCATAGAAAAAATTATCTTGATTGGGCATGAGTCGAGGAAAATTCTGTTCATCGTCAGACTTCTATCTGACACTGAACTTTCGTCCGTCGCCGAACTTTCGTCGGACTTCTACCTAAAGCCAAACTTTCACCTGTCACTAGAGTTCTACCCCATGCCAGACTTCCGCCCGTTGCCAGATTTTTATCAAACACTGGACTTCTGTCAACCAACGGTCCTTCCAACCTTCATCGCCCGTCGAATATGGTCCTTCTAACCTTTGCTGCTGACTACGGTCCTTCTAACCTCTATCTCCCTGCCACCGACTGATGTCGGATTTCTGCCAGTCGCCGGATTTCAACCCTTCGCCAAACTTTTGCCCTTCGACGGACTTCTAACCGACGCCGAGCTTCCACCTGTAACCAGACTTCTACCCGACGCCGAATTTTCACCCGATACAGAACTTTTGTCTATCATCAGACTTCTACCAAACTCCGAACTTATGTTCGTCGCTAGATTTCTACCCGTTGCCAAAGTTTCGTCAGACTTTTACCTAAAATTGAACTCACCAGACTTTTATTCATTATTAGATGTTCATCATATTTCTACCCGATGTTGAACTTCTATCCGTCGTAGAACTTCTACCTGTTGCCAAATTTTTGTTAGACTTCTACCTGACACCGAACTTCCACCCGTCACCGGACTTCTGTCCTATGTCGAACTTTTACCCCATGCCAGACTTCCACTCATTGCTGGATTTCTACCTCACACTGAACTTCTGTGTGTCAACGGTCTTTCTGACCTCCATCGCTTGCTGACTTTGATCCTTCTGACCTCTATCGCTAGACAATAATCCTTCCGACCTCCGTCGCCTGCCGACTACGGTCCTTTCGACCTCCTTCGTTCATCGGCTATGGTTCTTCTGACCTTTATCTCTAGATAATGGTCCTTCTAATCTCTGCCGCCTGCTGACTATGGTCTTTCTGACCTCTGTCACCCACCGGCTATGATTGTTCTGACCTCTATCGCTAGACAATGGTCCTTCCGACCTCCATCTCTTGCCTATTATGGTCCTTCTAACCTCCATCGCAAGAGAATGGAATTATGACCTTCGTCACCTGCCAACTACAATCCTTTTGAACTCTGTCGCTAGACAACATTCCTTTCGACCTTCATCGCCAAACAACAGTCTTTATGACCTCCGTCGCCTGCCGACTATGGTCCTTTTGACCAAACGAACATGTTAACAGTGATTCTTCCTGTTTCCATCATGTAACACACTTTGTATGATGTATATTTATTACATCAAGCCAATATATTGCCCTCAATGAAGGGTCTCATTACAATCAATTGCAAATATTAGTGGATTCATTCAAAATGGGTTAGGCGCCAAGAAAGATTTTATGAAAGTAAGTGATTGATAAAGTTATCGCTCATATAAAGACCTTAGCAGTCTAAAAAAAGCTTCAAAAATACGAGGAGAAATATATTAAAGCATGTCTCAAAGATGTATAAATAATTTAGCTTCCTTTAGGGGATAGGTTTATTTCAAATGAAAAACAAGCATCGAGTTCATTCAATAATCTCAACATCATATACAATATCATTGGAGTTACATAGATTAAACATCAAATTCAAGTGTACATTTATTCTCATTAGAAGCTAAAATTAATAATACATGACATCATCTATATAGATTAATGTCATCAAGCGACAAACAACTTCAAAAAAGTCAAATATCCTTAGTGGATTCCATTAATTCCCTTCTTTATTGCACACTGAAACATCTCCTACAACTTTTTCTTTAAAGAAAGGTTATAACCTGATCATCATCAGGCATCTACTCAGTTGACATTATAAGTGTGTCGCCAAACTACCAACATGGTACACTACTTCGACCCCTTCAATCAAGGATATCTGATATCTGTACACGTCAATATGGATGCATATTGCCTTAACAAAATGCAACTAGACCATTTCCATCATCGGCCCTTCATCTGATGTCTTTTATCGGTCCTTTACATCATATAAGCCCTCATTAGCTTCTTGCTCAACTACTGAGAGCGGTTCATCCCCCAACTATCTCCTTCAATTTTTCACCTGGTCATTGACCGCCATCAAATTTTCTTCTGACCATTGATCACCATCTGAATTCCACCCGATCATGGATCATCGGCAAACTTTCGCCCAATCACTGATCACCACCACACTCACACATGGCTGCTGATCATTGCTAGATTTTTGCTTAAGCATCATCAAAATTCTTCACGTCTATTGAGAATCATTGGTTCTCTTATTGACTATCATTATCATTAGATCTTTTCAAATTGACCTCACATTTCAAAGGCTGTTGATCTTCTTTTGTCAGAGTTGTTTATCGAAAGAATAAATTCTCATTATGACTCCTACACAAAAGAGGGGTACTGAAGCTTTATAGGGGATGCCACCTATCTCAAATAGTGAAATGCCTCTAATATAAAAAGAAGGAGAAGAAAACTGGAGGAGAAAGCTCCTTCTATACGAAAGAGGGGCATTGCAGCTTGATAGGGAATGCCACCTATCTCAAATAATGAAATGTCTCTAATGTAAGAAGAAGAACACATGAAAAGAAAAGGAAAGGAGGAGAAAGCTCTTTCAACACAAAAGAGGGGCACTAAAATTCGATAGGGGATGCTACCAATCTCAAACAATGGAATGAGTCTAATGTAAGAAGACGACTAAAGGAGAAGAAAAATGAATGCCAAAAATTCTAACTTCTGCATAAGATAGGGGCTCTAAATTTGAGTAGGGGATGCCACCTACAAAAAATAATGGAAGGCCTTAACTGTAGGAAAGTTAGAGGGAGAAAGGAGAAGAATAATTGGAGCAATTTTTCTCTTGCCCCAAGGGTGGTATTTATAGGACAAAAGGGAAGGGAGGGTTCAAAATTTTCAAAATATAATTCTAGAATTTTCTAGAAAAATTATGGGCCCCATAATAGAATTTTTTAAAATATTAAAAAAAAAAGGTGTGGTTGGCCCCACGAAAGGGGGGGGGGGCAAATGGTCCCTTTTGAGTCACCTGAGGTGGCCCTTTAAAAAAAAAAGTAGTTATAAAAAAATAATGAAGTGCATATACTTGCGCCCCTTAAGCGAGTGCGCCGGCAACCACCCGGCCGATTTGGTTGCTAAATTTTGTTTGGGCCTGATTTTCGGCCTGGACTGTCCAAAATCATACATTTTTGGGGTCCGTAAAATTGTTTTTCGAAGTTCTAGACTTCATTTTGGCACTTTCGAACCTCAACAGAGCTTCCATGATCAAATTTGAGTAAATTATAAGTTTTCAAATGCAAATTTTTGTGATTCGACCAATTTAAAATACTATGATATATATTTTCAGACTCTACAGGCTTTAACATCCAAAAATAGGGGGCAACTGATATAACATAAAAAATTATCTTGGTTTGGCACAAATTTTGAGGCAAAATGAAGTTGGAAACTTCAAAAGTTAAATCAGAGATCATATGAACTCTAATTTTAACAAGCTTACAGTCAAACTGAATGTCTCAAAAATAGAAACATAATGACACTAAATTTGACTCAAT